GGGTATTGTAAGCAGTAGAGTAGCCTTAGTGCTACGATCTGCTGAGATTAAGCCCTTGTTCAACAGATTTGTTTCCTGTTCCGTTTAGTGTCAAGGTTTTCATTTAGAATTTCTGGTTAGTATCAAACGTATTAAAGAAACTAATCAAATATTAAAGATGATGATTCGGGATTTTATTATATAGTAAAAATATTTTTAAAATATTTACTTCATTTATATTTTTATTTTTATTTAGTTATTATATTGTTAAAAATTCTCATCACGATAACTATCGTTCATCACAATCATCATCAACAAAGATCGGAACAAAATTTTGTTCACCATCGTAGTATTTGAAGAATTTCGTTCTTTTCAGAAAATTACAACCAACGCCCAAACGATCAAATTTTATTTCAGCCAGCTGACATGAAATCTTTGCAATCCCAAACTTTTCCCAAGAAAATCGCGGCATTCTACTCCAGTTGTAGTGAACTATAACTAGTGAATCAAAGCCATTCTCTTTAAGGTCATCATTCAGAATGTTTACAAAATTACTTTGATTAATTACTAACAGATACTTATTGTACTTCTCGATATAAAGTTCGTTACTTTTTTTTACTCGGGCTTTTAAAATAATTTATTGCACCTGATGTTAAAGATGATTTGTTACGACAGGTAAGGATCAGGAGCCGTATTAGCTGAAGGATAATTTAATTGTTGAGTAATACGTGTTCCTGTTCTTATCAATAATCTCTTCGAGAAGCTTTTTAACTTATCGAATAAATCTGTGATTTAGTTGTTATAGTCTATTATATTATATTGTATTTATTTATGCTTTCTAGACATATAAGGGATGGGTTCAAGTTGAATACATCATAATAGTTAACCAAATAAGTTCGGGGAAGTCAAAAATCGCAATATCCAGGACGTGCAGCTATGATCAAAACATTGTGAACTCCATAAAAGATGTAAGCCCACAAAAGCTTCAAGCCTAACCATATTAACTGTTCAGAATTTTCTGTAATTAATGAATTTTATTAATTGATTTATCGTTTTAGAGATTCTACAAATAATCAAGTTGCTTTGTGACTTCTTGGACTGTAGAATTGTAATTATAATCAGATCTTTTCTTACTTATTTCCCGAGAAAATGCCATATGAGCGAGCGTCACAACTGAACATGCATTTTAACATTTTTGTAAAATTACAAGGATTAAATTCTCTATTTAGCCAAACTTTATTGAAAAGTCCTACGAGCCCATCATATGTGTGTCTAAGAAGTTCGATAATCGAAAGTAAACAAAGATGGCATATAGTATCCAATTGTGTACTGAAGGCATGCAAACGTAATACGCTTGTGAAGAATTGAAGGTGTGGTGAGAATCACATGATTATTGTGCTTTTTACATTCCAAATACTCGTTGCAAATTTCATAAGCTATATCTGAAATATTTCTACCCTCTTAGTCGGCATTAGATATAAGATCATATATATATGAACAAAAGAACTTCGAAATTCCCCTTGTGTACTGTGGCGACACGGAAACGTTCGTGACCACTGAAGGTGGCGGACAGAGGTGGTAGTTGCACCAAGTAGATTATG